ATTAATGGAGAAAAAGTTATATCTACATATAAAGACGGAGAAAGTAAACGATAACGTTTATGGTTAAGTGTTAGCACCCCCCCAAGAGGCACAAGCTCTTTAGTTGATATTGGAGATTTCAATAAATGAAAAAAAAAGAAGCGAATATTCGAATAACAAAATTGAAACCCGAATAATACTCCAGCGAACGAATATTCGGATATTCGGATACAGCCCTACAACACACCAACATTTGTATACATATTACTGCATATCATATACCACTGCTCAATGTATGTGAGGTAACTAAATGACAGGGTCACAGGAGAGACTATTATTTGGCCAACAGGGACGAAGTTTGGGTCCAGTTGCCAACTATGCATTCATTCTCCCATTTCTAAACATGGTACAGTTTGTTTTAAAATGACAGAATCCACCCTAGAGTTACTCCAGTTTTTAATGCGATGTCATATATCCCACAATGCAGCACACAACGAAATAGAGGAAGCTTTGAACTAGTAGAAAACAGTGGAAATAGTTACAGTTTGATGGATATATAATACTTTATATTTTAGTGCTACTGTCGTATTTCCATATTCAAATGACTACTTTATCCATGACGTGATGACAGGCAGTCAAGACATTCAAATGTTATTGTCCAGTGTTTGCTGATCACTGTTATTCATGAATGAATGAAAGAATAGTTGAATGCTGTTCTGAAGATGTGTTTGTTTTGTGCAGTGTGACGTCTGCGGCATGGATCCCATCCAGGGAGTGAGGTGGCACTGTCAGGACTGTCCGCAGGACAACTCCGTCGACTTCTGCTCCAACTGCTCCGACTGGTGAGATCTTCTTCCTCAGCCGCCAGAGAAAAAACCCACAAAACAACTAGCAGTTTGAATTGGACAAAACAATAATATAAACCTAAAATCGATAATAATTAGTCTACCATAAGAGATGTTTTTATGGTTCAAACTGTGATCACTTTCCCTTTTGAATGTCTGCAATGTTGAAAGTGACGCACATTATTAACTTCTCTGGATTAACCATAAACAGTCATTCCTGTCTTATTGTTTGACGTTAATCGTTTTTATAAAGAAAGAATGACCATCTGGTAGGGTTCATTTATAATAATAATAATAATAATAATAATAACCCTTTTCCTAAGTCGCTCTAAATTTAAGCTGATATGGATCCATTGAAATGTGCTCGATCTAGTCCTTAGGGTGGCTTGCAGCATCCCTAACTTATCACATTGTACTCTAAAAAGACATGATATTTCAGAGGGGTACAGATGGAAAAGATGTCCAGTTGGATGAACACAAACCATTTGAAGTCCAAATGGTTTAGCTTTCAATTGACACGTTTTTACTGCCCGTCTTTCAGTTTGTTCAAGACGGAGACCCACAAGCCGAACCACCACCTGGAGCCGGTGCAGCAGCAGGACTCGTTTCTGGACCGGGACTACTGCCTGCCGCAGAGCGCGGGCTACAACTACCTGGACCCAAACTACTTTCCAGCCAACAGATGACAGGGCCCGCGCCTCTCGCTCCAGAATCTCTCCACATATCCCACAGGCCTCTCTGTGCATGGCTCCATCCTCCAAGTGTAAGAACACCGCTCAACCCGCCGCCCGGCAGGAAGGCAGGCGGGGGGGGCCGAGCTGCTGCTGGTGGGGCGGCCATGTTGGATCCTCCTCACAAAGGAGGCCCCGCTCCACCTCAGCCAGGTTATTCAATGGATCTGTGATTTGAAACACTATTTTTAAAAACACAAAAAAAACAAGAAGGCGCACCGACATTCCCGAGCTCTGTGACTCCAGGAGGGCTTCCCCCGATCCCCCCTTCCTCACCCCTCACCCCCTTTCCCTGTGCTGCTCCCAAACTGGAGATCAGTCTGATGGAGATGTGTGGTCACAGCGGACTGTGAAGATACACATCGGTGATTTGTATGTGTGTATGTGGTCTCCGTGTTATGCAAGAGTGAAAAATGTCCTAGCTAGGTATCCGTAGATTGAGTATTTATGAGTCGCAGTGAGAGACGTCGCTGCGAGAGAAGTGACGCAGAGGCGGGTTTGTTTTTGGCCGCAGACTGTAGGAAGTTCTGCCGATACACACCACGCCCTGCACACACACACACACACACACACACACACACACACACACACACACACACACACACACACACACACACACACACACACACACACACACACACACGTACGTATGTGTTAAACAGACTGGAGCCATCCCTACCACTGTCACACACACAAAGCTGCTCTCACCCTTCAAACACACTCACACACTTTCATCTCGATTTCCTTTCCCTTTGCTCTCTCTCCACTAAAACATGTCTAACAGGAAGCACTACAGCACGGAGAGCCAACGTTTCCGAAGGCAGACGGACGGAACGTTTCTGTTTATTTTATTATTTTCCTCCTTCCGCAATGTGTGCCGTTGTTGATCATGTTGAGTGTAAAAGTATATGGTGAAAAGTAGCCAGCGCTAGTTGCTGTGTGCCATTTTTAAACATTATCTTTTTTGTTTTTCGGGAGGAAACTCCACCTCTGAACCACAGCTCCTCCCTTCCTGCGTGGCACCGTCGTCCTCCATTATCGATCCAGTCATCATGCCTCTAGATCTTCTTTCATTTTTGCAGTCCACTTTAAAAAGGTCCATTTAAAAGATTGTATTTTTATTAATCTATTTAAAAAAGAATTGGGGTAGTGGTTGGAGCCTCCACAGTGGAACAACCCACACAGTTTTATACGCATAGATTTTGTTGTGCTTGAGTAGACACCATTTGGTATGGTTTTCGTCTCCTTTCCCTCACCTCCCCCTCTGCCCCGCTTCAATATCTGTGTATAACAGTCTGTTCTTATGTAAAAAAAATAATAATGTAAAAAAAAAAAATGCTAGGAGAACCGTGGAAATAAAAGTATGTGAAAATAGTGTTTCTACACCTGTGGTTCCTGGGTTGTTATTGTTGTCACTCAAGGCTCCACATTTGGTTCTGTAGTTTTCGAGATGCAATGATTATTCAATGACTCGAATATTACATCTCTGGATCCACCTTCTGAGGATTTGCGAAATTGTTGTCTAAATGTCTGGTTTTGTTGGAACAAACAAGACGTTTGAAGATATCCAGTTTTCACAGCGAAACCATCACATCTTGTATCTGCCAATAATCACTTTAAGTGGTTCTGTATTTTTGCAAATATTTATTATAAAAGACTTAATTTGTATAGAGTGCAAGTAATGTAGATACATCCAGGTGTTGCCAAAAAGATGTTAACATTTCAAAAATGTATTTGTGTGTGATGTCATCCCTTTACATTTTAAAATAATTTTAGCACATTTGTTGTGATCTTCTCACCAGCAGATGGCGCTATGGGATCAGCTGTGACACACACACACACACACACACACACACACACACACACACACACACACACACACACACACACACACACACACACACACACACAGTACAAACTCAAAAGTCCTTAATTTAGCAAATGCACTGGCTTTATTGAATGTTAAATCCAGACTCAAACAAGCACCTGCACGATGAGCTCTGAAACATAAAGACATTCTTAAATAATTCTTCTCTGCTCTTTAATTGACGCACAAAAGGCAGTAAATCTTGATTGTAATGTTGCATGCTTGTTACGATACAGAGCACGTTGCTGTGCATGAGAGCATGAGAACACGCTGACATTTCATCTGCAGCGCGGCGGGAACTCTGTGCTCCTTCTGTTAGCGAGCTTTCACATTCAACTGAAACATGCTCTCAGTCACAGCAGGCCATGCTTTTTATTCAGGACAGTTATCTGCTCGCTCCGGCAGTCGGCAGCATATATCGAGGTCGATGTAAGAGAGACAATGTATGTGAAGTAGAACGTGATAAAACCGGGCACTTAGTCAGTGTGAAAAGCAGAAAGAGGTTTCACTTTGGGGGACATGCAGTTCAGAGTGTGTGTCTGTGTGAAGGGATGTCTCCAGAGAAGGGTGGGGGGGGGAGAAGGTCTCCACAGATGGACCTCCTGGACAGCAGAGTTTGGGGGTTGATGATGAGGAAGTTGTAGAAATCAGAAGTTCTCCATCACCTGGCAGATCTGTGCGAAGACGCATTCTGGTGGCCTCTCAGCGTCAATCTGCAGAAGGAGAGAGAAACACTGTCTGAGCATGGGCGGTTCTGTGGGAGGGGGGCAACAGGGTCCCAGTGCCCCTTTAACAATGAGCTTGGACCCTCCTGTGGCCCCCCATCAAACATCAGCAGCAGAGGACAGCTGAAGTCTGCTGCAGAGCTCACAGCAGACGGGTGACCTCAATAGATGCGGTGGCATTTAAGTTCACACACGCACACAAAACTGATGTCATTTCAAACGGCTCATTTTTAATGACAGTTAAACCCGCCTGAACGGAATGTACGTGATAATCTGCTGACCCTCGTGACAGTGCAGACGTCAGTGAGAGGGGTAACCACTGAGCTACAGCCGAGCCATCTGCCTCAAATATGTGTTAAAATAATGTGTGTCGTGGAGATGAGTCGTGAAGCCCAGAAGAAAGAGAGAATGTGTGGTTCTCCATTTTCCTGTTAACGTTTACTTTTTTACGTAAAGAACCGGTAAAAAAAACCCTGCTTTGCCAGGATAATCGTATTTACATTTCTTAGTGATCTTTGAAACAGGTAATAGAGAAAAGTTAAGCATGTACATTTTTAGAATTGTATTGCCGTATTGTTGTAACACTAATTTCAGCCACAAGATGAGGCTGAACTTTAGCCCTTTTGAAAAAGAGTAAAAGCATTCACATTTTCTTCTAGGGCAAGGTTACATGTTCCATGCTCTGCTCCAAACACAAGGTACAGTATATTGTATTGTGTGTTGTGTCATGTTTTCCTAGAGGCACGACATTTTGTTTGCTGTTTTTTTTTTAACAGTTTCATTAGTCAGAGGTACTTATGAACAATACATTGTGACGCTGACCAAGAGCAGTCGGCAGGATCTATTTTGACAAGACTGAAGTGCACCTGACTCTGATCTGCAAAGATCTGCTTTAAAAGAATGTGAAATAGAAACTATGGGATGTAATTAGATACATACATGGTCTTTTGTACCCAAGGTGCAATTGCTTTGCATTAAACACACCTCAGGAACTTGTTGGATATATTTTTGGTAGAAAATTAAATTAACTTCCTTTAATATGGGTTTGGAGGGCCTTTAAATGTAATGTGTGAACTGCTGCTGCCCTGAGAGGGAATCAAACCCCCTACCCTGAGTGTCAGCTGCCTCCAGCCACACTGAATAAAAAAGGCTGTTACCGTGTGCAGGAGCTTCTTGCTCTCGTAGTGATCTGCCACCGCCTGGCTGTCGCTGCAGGAGCTCTCCACCCTCCGGTGCAGCGCGCCCTCTCTGTCAGCAGCGGGGGGGGCGGAGGAGGATCTGCTGCGGCTCTGCAGGCGGCTGGACATGGTGTCGGTGCAGCAGCTGAGCAGCAGCACGGCATCGGGCTCCCCCATCTGACCCAGGAAAGAGGAAAGTCAGCAACAGTGAACTTAAAGGTCACCTATTATACTGTTTTTAGTCAATATATTATAGGTCTCAGATATATACTAAACATGTCTCTGAAGTGTTTGACTCAAAATAACAAACAGATCATTGCAGCATTACCCATAATCCCCTCTGGTTCAGCCCTGTTTCTAAAGTGCTGATTCTCTGTCTGTTACTTTAGATGGAAATAAGGAGCCACGCCCCTCTGAGAGATATTTGGTTATAAAGAAC